TACTAGTAAGTTAGTAACTACATTTCTGCTTTCTGAACTTGTAAGAAGTATGTCTGCTTTCTAACGCCTCTTTCATGACATACTCTCGATGAGTCTCTCACCGTCACATCCCTTCCCTTTCAGTTTCATCTGCTTACGGAGCACGATGCGCACTGTATTAGCATATTTGTACGGATTCCGCGGGGTAAAGAGCTCAACACGGCGACAAAAGGACTGGCGCCATGACCGAAAAGGAAACAACACATTTTCCATTAGCAATAGTGCGAAACTAACGACCAAACTAGCCGAAAACTTGCATTAGCGGTCAATCAAACTGTGAACTATTCAACGTCATTGCTTCACACGAGATGGAGCAATCACACTGCAAGCAGCGTAAACGCTAAGCGGGTTTGTTGAGTTGCATATTTCGCCTCTCAGAGTCTCAGTACAGAGGTCAGTGCGAAAAGTTTTGTCTCACACTAATAATTTATCTGAAATATGATTACTAGTGTATTTAATCTCCAGGCCCTGGGATTGAAGTCTCTATAAGCCCTCTGAAACTCCCTATCCTTTAACCGTGCCATGCTTACTCACTCTCTGTAGTGAGTGTGCCACGGCATATGAAAAACCACACTGTAAAGAAAATATTTTGAATATAGTAATCTTTAAAAATTAATTAATAATCATTACTACATCTATCTATAATATAAAGATTATCTATATACTTATTAGAAGGTGTAGAATTCACTGTAAGTTAAAATTCTATAAAATTATCTTATTATAATTGAGTGACTGTAGATTTTATAAATTTGATTTTAATTAATTAAAGAGTTTTATTAAATATCTTTTTCATCTCATCTACTCTACAGATTGTGATCTTATAATTAACATTCTTAATAGTAAGAACTTTATCTACTTGCATTTATCTGTAGAAGAATTTAATAATCTAATATCTATTTATTTAATAATAATCTGTAAGTTCATTCTCACAGTGTATATTCAATTTCATCTAGATTATGCTACTCTTGAAGATCTTGTTCAACTGTTTTATTAAATCAGATATAAGAGTATTCTTTATATCTTCTAAGATCTTAACTGCTGTATTAATTTAGTAATATAGTATTACAACTATCTCTGAAAAGATTAATTGTAAGAAGATAGTTAATAATTAATCTGCAGATAATGAGATAAAGTGATTATATACATTATTATCATTATTATATATGTTAAGATCTGAGACATTATCAATGATAAGAGGTCTTAATTAATTAAGAATTATATTATAATTAACTGAATACATTTCACAGTTAGTAAAGCTAGCTCTCATAGTATCAGATTTAAATACTTACAGTCAAACACTCTTCAGATTAGTAAGAAATTATCTATTATTATACTACTTATATTTATAGCAGATAGTTTTATTAACTGTCTTTATATAATAATACTTATACTGCTGAAAAGATATATTATTAAGAGATTGTAGAATATAACTTATATAAGATAAGAATCTGAATAGAATAATCTTATAAAGATTATAATATTGAATAAATTCTTCTATGAGATAAGAATCATGATTATTCATTAATAATAGTTAATAACTGCTTATTTAACACTTTTTTATTATCTTATTAAACTGCTTAATTCATTCAAATTCAATCTTATCATTTATAAAGCCAGACTCAGATACAGTAATAATATAGTTATCAGATAAGTTAAAGTATATATATTAATTCTCTAGATAAACTTTTAATTTTATTATAATCAATGAATTTAATACTATATTATCTGTATTAATATACTTTATCACTGTTATTAATCTGCAGAAGTATAATAACTGTATAATGAAATTTATATCTCTAAAGATAATTATAATATACTGTTTATATTCTTCTTCTTCTTAAAATTTAATCTTATTAAAGTTATAGATATTACAGTGAAAAAATTAATATTAATTAAAGATAGCTTTATATTAATTAAATTAATTAATAATAAAGCTTATATTCTTATAAGATACTTATTTTAAATTTATAAGTTTTTACTTAACTTATTTATAATCTGATAGATATTTAATAAATTAATATATTTATATCTTACTTACTATAAGAGATGCAGTCTCTGAATCTGTATAATACTGTCTTAATATACAGTTCACAGCAGCTTTGATATACTTGATAATAAGTGAGTAAAAATTAATATTTAATTGATAAATTCATATCTTAATTATCTCTTTCTGACTGTCATTCAATACTTGATTCAGTGAAATTCTCATAGTTCTTGATTTCTTCTCATTGATTCTCTCATGTAAGATAATATATGAGACTTTGAATTCTTATAACAGAGATGTGATTTTTAATTTTAAATTGCTTTTATATGTATTAACAGCTCTTTGCAACTGCTTCTTAGTGTAATTAGAAGATTTAGACATGATTATAATTAATAATAATTATTTAAAGATGAAGAATGAAGATATTGAAAATATTTTCTATATGATGTGGTTTTCTGTACACTGTGGCACACTCACTACAGAGAGTGAGTAAGCATGGCACGGTTAATAATTGTAGGATAGTTGAAGGTTGTATTGATAGATCTATCTACAAGAACATAATATAGTGGTGGGTCACGTGATCTAGTGGGATCGCTAACCGCAACGGCCGTAAGGGCCAACAATAATTAAGAGATGGAATGGCAATACTTAATGCTAGTATCAGCATTTCAGTTTAAATTCTTAGCGCAAGTCAAAACTTTTCGCAGGAGCCTCCGTACTACTGTGTACGGTACGTCCGTACTGCATAACCCGGAACACTACTCCGTACTCCGCGTCCTCTGATATTTGTTTTCCCCTGTCAAGCCACGGCCACAGGGTCTGTGGCGGTGCTTTTTGACCTCAGGTAGAAGTGGGTAAAATCTATGCTAGGTATAATCAAAGTGGTGGAATAAGAGTACCTGCGTAGCACAACGTCATCGTTTTACCTAGCCTGTTGTGTTGGCAAACAGCTTGAGCTTCTCCAGACTCGAAAGGATTAATAAAAGTGCTAATATGGTTCGGACAGTCAAGGATCACCCCTGAGCAGGGATATCTAGATCGATCGACCCAACCACTCTGCGAGGTAGAGGTTCAGCAGTGCACGAGTAGATATTCTTCCCAGTACCAGAACTTCAGCCAGATTTCTGCGGTGTTTGCTTCTGTTTCTTATTCCCATATCGCTAAATCTCTTCAGCTCAAGTCATTGAGTGTTTGTATTACGGCTGAGCAAGATAAATCTGTTATTCCTGCTGATAGCCGAGGAGTTTTCGCCACGAGGTTGAGACATAAGCTAAAGCGGTGAGAATGGGGAATTCATCACTCTTGAATAATATACGCTAGGACCGCAAGAAGAAGCATGAGAAACGCCACAGTGTGGCTGTGATTCTGAAGCGTCTTGGATTGGCGAGAAGCCTGCATGGGACGGGGTTTGCTTTTGGACCATCTGAGATGGAGTTCAGCTCCTGACTTTCTTTCGCCAAACAATGGCCTGTGCTGTTTCGGTACGACTCAGTACCTGAAGGTGGTGGTTCACACTTCCTTTTTTTTAATCACCCCTTGAACCAGGGCGTGCTTGAGGATCAGCTGCCAGCGCATCCTATTTGTGGCTTGCGTTAACTCCATGAACCCTCAATCTCAGCTTCAAACCTAAGATAGGCCCTCTGAGATTTCGTCAGAGAAATGTTTCTGTGAAGCTACCAAACATCGCCACCAAGTGCACAACGAGCCTGATATCAAAAGATGTGAGATACACATCAATTGGCAAGGGGCCGCTCCAGATAATAGTCTCAGCTAGTCACTGAAAAATGCAGATGGTTTTATCAGCCGTTCGACCACGGGTCGGATTACCCAGGAGCTCATGATAGGGTGTTTATTGTCCGGCGACCCGTAATGAAGGCTGGACGTACTCGACCAATAGCTTCAAACCTCACAGTGTTCCCGAAGCTTTGTATGGGGGGCTGAATCAGTGCAAAATGACTAAGGCCGCCTTAAGTGATGAGCCTTTTAAAATCTCCGCATGTAAGTTATTCGATACGACACTGATAGAAGAATGAGAAAGAAGCAACAGGATTGTCGAACCAACTGCCTCTCCGCACCGAAACACAGTAGAAGCCAAGTGAAACCCATATAAGGGTCCAGATATTCCCCCTCAGACTGCAGCTATTATGGAGCCTGGTGCCATGAATTGGTGTCGTAATAGGCAAGACAGAGGAAAAGGACGTTTTGAAAAATGAAGCAGACGAACGTTATGGGATGGGTTAAGAGGTAGAAGCTTTTATGCTTCGAAATGGGATTCGCAGTGACGTCAGTGCAAGTTTCAGGCGCTCGCATAAACGTAGAAACGCAGGTTCGCAGGAGTAATCATGGTGAGGGTCCATGTTGTTCGTAAGTTAAAGAATGTTATTTCACCGGGAGCACCGAAACTTAGCAATCATAGCTATTCTCCAATGTTGTCCCATGTTCCTTTTTGGTATAAGAAAAGCGATGTCATAAACTCAACATAAACCTAACATTCATTCATTCGCTAACATCAACCGGCATCCAGGATCCCAAACAAAAAAAAATATAAAAACCAGAACCGCAGGTGCACACGTATATGTACATGTACATTGTACATGGAAAGAGCATCAACCACGAACATAAAAGAGCAAAGCCGAAAGCCAAAAACCCAGACATCCCAAGAAACGTGCAAGATACCATGCAAGAAACAGAAAATCGCAGGATAATATCCAGAATCCGACACCAGCTATTCCACCCAAACGTATTGCCGTAAGATCTATTAGACAAGAGCATGACACGATCAATCCCACCCAGAAACACAACTGACAAGAGAGAAAAAAAAGCAGGGCAAAAGTTATGTGTAGATAATATTGGCACAAAACGCCAAAAAGAAAACGCAGGAACCCCTAGCACACCAACAGGCCGAATACAAGATGCTTAATAGCGACAGAGAACAAACCTCCCTTAGCAAAAATGAATTAGAAAGGAGATCCGTTCTTCACCACCAATCACCCTGATCTTTCATCGCGGCTGCAACCTTCATGAAGCCAGCAATGTTGCTCCCCGTAACCAAGGAAGGCAACTTGCTTTCGTCAGGCAAGGTGTATTTCTTCGCCGTCTCAACGCCGATCTCGAAACAGTCCTTCATAATCTGCTTCAATTTCGCATCAACCTCAGCAGCCGTCCACGTCAGGCGCTGCGCATTCTGCGCCATCTCTAGGCCAGAGACAGCAACACCACCTGCATTGGCTGCCTTTCCGGGACCGTACCAGACGGATTTCCCCTTGGAATGGAAGCGGCGGCTGGCTTCGAAGTGCTCGACAGCAGCGAGTGTGCAGCCCATATTGGATCCCTCAGCTATATATCTCGCGCCAGCTTCCATCAATGCCTGGGCTTCGGGGCCAGAGACTTCGTTCTGGGTGGCACAGGGCAGGACGACGTCGACTTTGCCGACGTGTGTCCATGGTCGTTCGCCCTCGACGTATTCGCATCGTTCGCGGAAGGCTTCGGTGTTGGCGAGGCTGGAAAGTTGCTTGCGTTCGACTTTGATCTGTTGGATCATGTAAATTTCTTCTGGGGTGATACTGTCCCCGTGGTCGCGGACGATTAGCGATCCCCGGCTGTCGCTGAGAGAGCAGACAGTGCCGCCAAATTCGATAACCTTGAGCGCTGCGTATTGCGCGACGTTTCCGGAGCCGGAGATCGCGACACGTTTGCCTTTAAAGCTTTCTTTGCCGTCCGTGGCATACTCGATCATATGTTGGACGTACTATTTTGGAAGATTTTGGTTAGCTGACCTGAGCCGTTGGAAACCTTTTTCTGAGTGAACTGGGTTGTACATATACATACGTAAACCAGACCATACCCAGTGGCCTCGGGACGAATGTGGCTTCCGCCCCAGCTCAGTCCCTTGCCAGTCAACACACCCTCCCAAAGATGCCGCTGCCTCTTGTATGCACCGAACAGGAATCCAATCTCACGCCCCGAAACGCCAATGTCGCCAGCTGGAACGTCAATGTCAGCGCCGATATGCTTGCTCAGTTCCATCATGAAAGCAAAACAGAATTTTCGGATTTCGTTATCTGATTTTCCCTTGGGATCGAAGTCGGCGCCTCCTTTGCCGCCGCCCATGTTCACTGAATAGAGTAACAATGATATGTTAGTTTTATCTTTTCTTGAACGCTATGTACTTTCCCTTCGCCTTCCCGCCGGCCCCGTTTGGCAATGGATGGATGAGAAGAAAAAAAAAAAAAAAAAAAAAAAAAAAAAACTTACGTCCTGTCAACGCATTTTTGAAAATCTGCTCGAAGCCCAAAAATTTCAGGATAGACATGTTCACTATTTTTGATTTGACGTCAGCATAACCAGATGCAAAAACGCTAAACAGTCCCCGACCGGAGACAAAAGAAAAGAAAAAGTCATTTCAATACCTGTGGGATGAAACCGGAGGCCTCCCTTGTAGGGGCCCAAGGCGGAGTTGAATTGAACCCGGTAACCCCGGTTAACTTCGAGCTGCATGAATCGACGGAGCATTAGACACAGTGCCGATTAAATTGGGGTGGGTGTGTACGACATGACATGTATATAACGAGTTTCTCGCTTACCTGTCCCTTGTCATTTTCCCAAGTTACACGGAACTGAATGGTACGCTCAGGCACGGCAGCAACGGCGAGGGCTCTGCGATATTCTGGATGCTGGTCGAAAAGGGTGGAGTTTTCCAATGTAGAGGCCAGCTCTGTTAATTCAATTATATCTGGTCAGCACAGGCCCTTTCCTTTCTTTTGTTCAACTGTGTTTTGTTAGTTTTCTCTCCAAAGCCATTTTTTTTTCCTTCTCTTTTTCTGTTTTAATTAATTTCTTGCTCAACAAGTTGTGTCCCCGAACTGGAGGGTGGCGAAATCCAAAAAAAAAAAAAAAAAAAAAAAAAAAATTCATATTTCTGTGTTTTTTTTTTCCCGTACATTTCCATTTTTTGCTCTGTTTCTTGTACAGGAACATCACATCCCAAACTCGGCCTGGGCAGCCGGCCCATGGAGGGAGGAGGCTAGAACAGAAGAGAGAAAAAAAAGTGAATAGATAAATAAATAAAACCCACCTCTGTAGGCCTGCTCGAACTCCGGCTCAACAGCGAGATGAGACATTATTCAACAATAATAAATTCTCCTCTCTAATTTTCCCAGCGGTTTGAGGAAAAAAGAATGTAGATTTTTAGATTCAATTGGTTTTCCAAACAACGAATATCAAATTCGTGCGTTGGGGATTGTACAAAGGTTGGGTATAGTGTGTATATATTCTGCGTCGTCGTGGCTTCGGTGGTCGATTCAATAGTGAAGGACAGTATTGAAAGAAGCTGAGATGGGTTGGTATCAATCAAGAAAACCTCCTAGAAGCTTAACGAAAATTGAAGATGAAATGAAGAAAGGATGAAGAAAGGATGAAGAAGAGGAAGAAGAAGAAGAAGAAGAAGCGAAAAGAGGGGAACTGGGAGAATTAAATAAAAAATTTAAAATAATCGATCAGAGGCAATTTTTTTTTTTTTTTTTCCCTCTCCTCCAATCTGGAAGTTTTCAGCTATGGTTTGTCCCCCCTTGTTTTCCCCCCTTGTTTTCCCCCTTCTCCTCCTCGGAAAAATTCAAGGACAAAACGGGCGTTATCTACCGTAGTTATTTAATATTTGCGGATATAAATTGGTCATTTCTATTAGGTCCCTGGCTGGTGCTGGAATGGGGGATTAAAATGAACTATCAAAATGCGCGCCGGCCGGGAACGGAGGCGGGCGGAAGATACAGGAAGGAAGGGAACATATTGTAGCGTTGGAAGATAAGGCAAAGAGCAGCCATTGGAGAGCGGGAGCTTGGGTGGAATGACGTAGAGATTATTTATTAGCTCGACAGCAGCAAAGGGGAGAGAGAGAGAGAGAGACATGAAGTGCGCCTTTGCTGATAGGCTGTATATATATATGTATGTATGTACATACATTACATACTACTGGGGGGGGGAGAGAGAGATAGATAGATATCTGATATCGATGGCTGCATGCTTCTCTTATAACATAACTACCCGTAATTCCACAGCTACATCCTCGATTTCCTGTTCTTCTGCCTCTTGGAATTCCTCCTCCTTAGCTGATTTTTCGTGGTGGGTGCGGTGGCGTCGGGCGCAAAAGCTTGGGACCAGGGCCCCCTCTTGTCTTCTCGAAAGCTGACAGGAAACTTCCGATGACGGACGGAACCCTCGCCGGGCACTGGCTGAGTCGCTCGCTGGAGCCGATCATTATTGCAGCTGGGTTCTGTTCTGCTTCCAAGTAGCATAAGAGCCAGCAGCAACATAAACAAACCCTCACTCTCCACGGGTAACTATAATGTACAGTACGGAGTACTCCGTACATACTTATTATTATTATTCTTCTTATTCTTATTCTTATTATTATTATTATTATTATATTGCTGTTGTTTCACGCGGCTGCTCCCCACTGCCTTATCTTATCCCGAGCTATCTTTTTATGCATAAGGTTTGCTTAGCCCAAGGAGAAGCCCCATGCAGCCGCATTGCACGATCTCCCTTATCTTTATCTTTTGCGCTTGCTCGGCATTATCAATTATTATCAAGTCATGTCATGGCCCACTTAGCCTTAACTACGGAGTAACTACTGCGTACAGGCGTCAGTTCCAGTCAGTCCGCTCGCTCTACCCTAGCTCCCATTGGCTGCACCCGGAGATTGTGTCTTTTTTTGGCGGCGTATAAATTAAATAATGCAGCTCTAGCGGGCGGCTTTTCGGGCGGTCGCCTCATTCTAACCTAACCCTAACCCTAATTCCCCAAAAACGCAGCCAGCCCTAACTCCCGAGACCGTTTATTAACCACTGAAATTCCTACTCTTTTTTTTCTTCTGTTTTAGATCGAGTAATGAGACCGAAGGCTGCTTATTATTATTATTATTATTATTATTATTATTATTATTATTATTATTATTATTTACACCAGGGTAGTTATGTATGTCCTCGAGTCAGCAGAGTGACCGGCGGCAGATATACTAACTCCTAATCATCAGCTTTCCGGTGAGAAGTGGGGGTAGGGGGTAGGTAGCTCTCTACATATGCTAACCAAACATCTTCTAGAGGAAAGCCGGATTAACCAGAAAAGAAAAATTCAACTTTTTCAAATTCATCATTTTGCCGATCTGTCAAGTCAAGGCGCGTGCGCTATCATGATCATCAACATCTTTACCACTTTCGAAGAAGTGAGAGGTCTTCTTTGTTAACTTATCCTCATTGGGCCACCTCTTTGTGCTCTACAATCCATTTAACACCAGCAGGTTGACGCCCTACATACCGATGCTCACCAGCATAGCAGCAAACACACCCAGTACCACACGCAGACCACGGTGATAACTATGCCGATGCGTCTTTCTCGTGGGAAAAAAAAAAATTTTGAGGGCCGAAAATACAATATTGCCCAGCAGATGAACCTGCCTGATAAAACGGCCATGATCACCGATTGCTTGGTGGTTCCAGCCGTGTTATCAATGATCTATGAGACAATAAGTGGGTTCCCCTGAGAACAGGAACTCAAGTACGTTATTATATATAGGCCACTAGAAGTGGTCCTTGCTGGGAAGGTCGGTCCTCTGTCCAGCACGTACAGAAGTGGCCCTCCAACAATGACTCGCATCATGAAGATAGCAAGGATGTAGCCCTATGTGCGGTCCAGCCCTCTTGCAAAGAATGACCCATTACCTGAACAATGCCGAACGGGATAATTCAAAACTGACGCCCGAAATTTGTCGAAGCCAAAAGCTACACACGACTAGCGGCCCCCCAAACCCGATCGCTACAGATGCGCCCGATATTAACCAGCACCGACATGGCAATCCACATATAGCTTTTCGGCTCTCTCCAGCGCCCACTTGCCCGTACATGCGGCCGCTTGAATTCGCGAAATATGTTACCAGTTTAATTGGCGCGAAGCCGTTCAACAGCGTGCTGCCGCTCCACCTCAGTGAAAAATCGAGCGGATAAGGGTATTATTGTTCCAGCTTCCAATATGCCCACGGCGAGCAGAGGGGCGAAACTCTTGCATCCGTGCCATGCATGTCTGGGCAATTTCCCCCAACCCAGCACCAGCGTCGACGTCAGGATTCGGTGTGGCACTCGTGACTCGCACGATCAGCCATGTAGAAAAAGGGCTGCCATGCCAGCTGTGCTAGGGCCGATATCGATCCGACCCGCGAGTCCTGGTTTCCTTGCAGACCAGTGTCTTCTTGGAGACTGAATAGGGATCCCTCTGCCCAGAACGGCTTTGTCGAGGACCTGGAGAAAGGAAGTCAAGGTATAGCGTGTTTTAAAAAAAAAAAAAAAAAAAAAAAAAAAACCAAACAGGGGATTCTCGGGTAGAAAAATTAATCTTTATTAGCGGTCAGTAGTTAGTCAACGGCTTTTTTATTTACCTTGCCGTCCATCTCTACTCCGTACGCTTGTTATCACACCCATACTTGTCTGTCATACCTGAGGAATTTGAGGAATGGCAGAGGAGGTTTCGGAGCGATACCTGGACAACTACATAGTTTGGATTATTTGTTGCAATTGTGTGCTAAGGGGAATGCACAGCGGACACATACCGAACTATCAAACAGCTTCTTTCAATTATAGAGCCTATCAGTTCTTGGTTATTGACGTATCTAGAGCGCCAGCCATATTTTCCCTTTTTGCTCCAAAAAGTTCCATGCGTTGTTTGTTCGTGCATTGGGCAGACAGCAAAATGAGAGCTTTCTTCTGACAACTATGGCATACAAGTCAGCCCATACACCAGTAAAGGGCTCAAGTAGTCGATCAACCGTAGCTCTTCCCAACCACTGGCACCTAACCCCCACGTCGGATTTGAGAAAAGCTCAATTCCAACACCCGAAAAAAAGGTTGTCCCGGCATTAACATCCATCGCCAAGTACTCGTGCGAGAGTACAGTACAGGGGGGGGTGCAGCAGACTGTACGTTATCCGGCAGGCAAGGATGGGGATGGAGCCAACCGAACTAGGTTTCTGGTATCGGGGTATGCTTTTGCTACTTTTCTTCTCTCCCGATAAATAATAATAATAATGAGATAATGATGGCTCGGACGAAAAAGTTTTTTTTTTTTTTTTTTTTTTTTTCTTTTTGCGAAATCCCGCTGTCGTCATCGGAGGTTTAAGGTGACATGGTGAACCGAATTACGGCCGGCGCCTTTTGCGCCAGTTGCAGCCGGGTACGTGCGAAAATGTTTCGGAACGAGCCGGCGGAATGAACTCTGATCCCAACCCATCCCAAGATATCCTGTCATGTTTTACTCGGGTTGCAGAAAAACTGGCTAAAAAAGATGGAAACGAGTGCCGAGATTGATTTTTAAATGGAGTCAAATGTATTTTAGCTTTAATTAAATAAAACGAAACGAAGAGGACATCTGCAGGCGGCACGTGGGCGAGAAATTAAAGTTAAAATAAGCTTTGGCCTTGGCAGCCCTATCTGCGGTCCTCACGGTCAGCTGACCCCTCGTTTGCCGCCGTATAGGCTAGCTCTCGTCTTTCTCCAACCTCCTCTCCGTCGAACTTGAGGTCTGCGGGATCTTTATTGAATGATTGCATGAGCAACTGTTTCGGCGGGCTCTTCAGGGATGAGAGAGACATGGCTAAAATGCGTATCGCTCGAACACGTATCAAAGATTGAGGCAAAACTTATCCAGAAATATAAAACAGAGAGCTCTCTCTATCTTGTTGGACAAGGTGTCCCGTGTCCCGCCCTTGGTGAAAAACTTAATTCAATGCGCCTGGGAAGCATATTCTTTGCCGCCTAGGTTTTTTTTTGATACCGAGCGTGTCGTACATCGTTTGGCAAGTCAACTTAGCCAGCCATTCGGCTAATAGGATGCCAACCGAAGCCTCCAAATCGTCTAGCATCACCAAAATCTTCACATACCGCAGTTCACCCTACTCTGTCTGGCATACCCAAAATCTCTCTCTCTCTCTCCATATATATATATATATATGTGTGTGTGTGTGTGTGTGTGTGTGTGTGTGTGTGTGTGTTTTTGTGAGGAACCCGTATTTCCGTCGGGCCCCTTCCAATCGGAGATGTGACCATTCCCGCAGACTGCCCAGAGGTCACCGGGTGTCGCACACCCGTGTCTTGATAGCCAAGTTTTGGTTGCGCTCTTGGCCACTCCTCTGGAGATTCTGTGATATTTCACTGCTGGTCGTATGACACAAGCTCCTGAAGACCAGGCGTTAGCGGCCGGCCGGCTCGCCTGCAGGCATTTCTCGAATTGTGGCAGCAGATAGTCTGGCTTTCCACGCCTATCGGTTCATCTCTGAAGTGGAATTCTCGAGCGAATGTGCGTGTTTCACAGCTTGCCTAAAACGTGGGATCGGTGAGACTTGTTGTAGAGTCGAATTCTATGGCTCTTGGTTTCGGAACATGCTTTGGCAACGAGTATTGTGCTATCATCGGTGACCCCGCCGTTGTTACTTATATAGATATATGTATATATATATATTGTGTCTGAGTCTCCCACCCTACTAGAAACCAGTGCGAAGGCACAAGTTTGGCAATGGCGGGTAGATGCTTGCCATTGACAGGGAAGTTTTACCGAACCAAATCTCCCTAAGATTCTCTTGCTTGAGCTTTTCTATCTATGTCTTCTCTGAAACCCTTGCCAACAAGAGAGAAAGGTTCCGAGAACTTGATATTCGTGTGCTTTTGTTCTGCTTTGAACCACCCACTGTCCTGTTGTTTGATACAAATGCCAATATATCTAGCTGGGCATGTTATCATCAAGTCTTGCTGATACAACAATATCCGATACCTAAAGGGAGGAGAAAAAAAAAAAAGAAAGCAAGAAAGAAAGAAAAACCCTCCCTCTCAGGCAATTCCATAATATTCAAACATTTGACGCTACTTTCAATGCCAGAATGGATGTTCTGGACAGCAGCGGTTCCGCCCCTTGTGGTACTGTATGTTTCGCACAAACGAGTAAAGATCTCGATGCGGGCCACTCATATGTGTATTTACTCAAGTTACTAATCATCATAATTAGTATCACTGTGGTAAATGTATGTACATACATGAACGAGAAGAACATTCAGGACTCAAATGAGGGACTTTTTGATGTTGGCTCATTTGCAGTGTCTTCATTTGTTTCAACTCGTCCACACCTCATTGAATTACCACTCTGGCAGTGTCATATAGGGAACAGTTCAATGAAAATATAGACATAGAGTCTATAAACAATTATAGATGGTTCAAATAATTGACTCTTGTGACGTTTTGCTAATGAGCGCTATTTTGTGGCTTATTTCATAGACGCAAGGATTCCTTCAAATATTGCTGGATATACAATGCTGCTTTTAGTAGTGATGCTTCAAAACACTTTCCATGCTGTACACACTGATAGTGTACATCATTGCTACTGGGACGAGAGTTGGCAGAGCTGGAATATAGTTACTAGCCATCTTTCAAGCCTCCATCAGGGGCTAATTTGACATGTATTTACTCTGTACTCGCTTGGAATTTTGCAACTACGTTTATCCAACCTCCCAGAATATACAGGGTACCCAAGCCCTTGGCGAGAGGACGCGGGATAAACGGGATAAACCTCGCGCTTCTACTTGCTGCTGCAGCGATAATAAGCAATGTTCCCCTCGGGGTTCCGCCGCCGCGACGCATAGAGAGCCAATCCCAGGCGCTCCTGGACTAACCACCTGCGGATGCTAACGGTGATGCTAACGGTGATGGTCACGGCTCGGGTTGTGACAGAAGCTGCCCACACAGCACTAAGGCCCTCCAAGAATAGGTGTCATCCATGCCAGAGCTTTCTATATCTGAGCAATGAGAAGCTCAGATTTACCAACTTTTGTCGAGCAATATTGTAACACTATATACCTCTTGGCGCTGGGAGAGGGGAAATTGGCTGCTCGTTGCTGCTCTTTTCTGTCCTTTTTGCCTGCGGCTTCTGTGTCACCTAATGCTGTACTTCCTACACCCAGCCCAAACATCGGGAGAGCAGCAGGACAGCAGTACCAGTGATACCAGAGAAGAATGCTTCCCACCACCGCTTCAGCCATTACGCGCTTCCTAAGTACACAATGAGCGTCCGCCAGACGTTTGTCGCGACCGTCCTTATTGCCGTTTATGCTGGTGCAAGAGCAAGTATACCAGATTGCGCGGTAAGTCACGCATCACCACCTCCTTTTCGCGCTGACACCTCTAGCTAACTAACTGATAGAGCAAATGTTTCCAAACCGCTGTGAACGACCATGCTTGCGACCAATGGCTGTCCGATGTTGACTGTTGCCGGAGCGACGCTTTCATTCTTTTGATATACAACTGCATCTATGATGAGTGCAGCCGGCAGCCCTTTGATGAAGCGTGGAGTCATCTCAGGGAAGAATGTGACAAGGTCGATGTTTATATTCCTCCCGCCCACTTTGTCCCGCTTCCTGAACCTACTTCGACCAGCAGTACAGAAACAACCAGCAGCACCACGACAACCAGCAGGTCCAGCACATCCACCGCCTCTGTGCCGATAACTACATCGACAACTGCATCGGCCGCTGCGTCGACAACAGAAACTCCACCCACCGAGCCTCTAACTACGGGAACAACTACCACAGGCCCCAAGGCCAATACCATCCCTAGTGGCTCAGATGCCTCAAACGACGACAATGGAAGCGGCGGTCTTAACTCCAGTACAAAAGTAGTAATTATCGTCCCTCTCGTACTTGTCGCTCTGGCAATAGCATTGTTTTTTTTCCTCCGTCGACGCCGGAAGAAAGCCACCCCATCCAGCACAGAGGCACCAAATAACGCAGCTCACGAAAATAAGCCACTGGTCCACGAGATTTCAGGGACAGAAATTAGCGGAGGTAGCAGGTACAGGTATGCAGCCGAACTAGAAGCAGTCGAAGCCAGCAGAGCAGGAGGGACCACACTGCCTCCACCCAATTCAACCATGACGCCATATATAGCAGGCATGGACTCGCATACCAACCTGACCGGCCGTCCACAGCGAGTTGGAAACCAAGCCGCCGCCAGTGCGAGCCACACTAGCGTTGTAATAAATCATCAACCTAATGACCCTCGCACTTCGGGTACTCCTGCACCAGCAGCAATACCGCTCGCATATTCACCACCCACCACAAGCCCCGTATCAGGCTCGAGTCCGCCAGTGTCCCCAATTCAACCGCAAGGCACAAGCAATTTCTCATCACAGCAGATGTCAATGATCGAGCCGTCTCTTAATGTTTCGCTAGAAGAAAGCAGGGAGATACAAAGGCTTCTTGCGAGTCTGGAGGCAGTAGAACGGCGGAAACGCGAGAGTGCTTCACGCGCGCAAATGCTGGAGCGGGAAGAAGCTGCAGTGCGAGCGGAAGAGAAGGCGCTATTGGAGGAGATTCGGAAGAGAACTGGGAAACTCTCGCATGGAAGTGTATCGCCCCGTCCTGGACCGGTCTAACATAAAGATTTATTTTTTGATTAGCAACTTGACGCTTGTGAAAAATAAAAATATATATATCAAAAGCAGGGGGAACATCCAACATCCGTTCCAATCAGTAATTTTACTGCGGGAGCGACGTTCGCACGCTCAGGCTGGTTAAAACGGCATGGAGTTGGAAGGCTTTTTCACTGAACTCGATTAAAACATCCAAACAAAGCAACAAAACGTCCCCTTTACCGGGATCTCAACGATACTTCCCAACGGACACATCGAGATTCAGTGCTTGAGGTTGCGGGAAGAAGAAAGGGACGGAGGATGAGAAAAACGTGGAATTTAACCATCGCCCGTCCGTTACACCCACCGCCCAGCCACCAACCACTCATCCCCATACCATACCACACATCTACAGTACCTTTCATAGTTCGCCCATTTCATCCTACGGGCATGGCTTGCCACGGGGGGGGGGGTGCGCTTCACACGTATATTTAAATATCACACACAGGTTTTTTTTTTTTTATTTCTTCCACATTTCAATGTTTGATATCGATATCCCACCCCAGCCTTGCATTTTTAGAATTAACACATAAGATGGTCATTCCATGGTCATCATTCCAACCCAGACTTAGCATTCATCTAGAGATGATCTCAGTCTACATCGGCGGCTGGTTTGCGGGATTTTGAAAAGTGAAAAGGAGAAGGGGACAAGCACAAAGCACATCTCACAAGCGGCCCCCCCCCCTTTCTACTCCCTCAGAGTACTCCCGCACTTCCTGTCTACCCTTTCCATGGATGATGAACTCCCAAACCTCGACATACCCCCACAGAATAAACAGGCCGACTAACTTACTCAAAAAATCTATCTATCTCCTCAGTCAACCCCCTCATCCTTTTCCTTTGTCACTCGATACTGAATCTCCACCGGCCCTATACAGTCTGTACTTGAGTCCTACTAATCTATTCACATTCCCGCCACATCGGCTACATAAGTGATGATTTCATGGAGTTTCCGTAATCCGGTGCGCAAATTTTTCTTTTTGTGGCTTTATTGCTACATCGGATATTTGGTTATGTTGTATAGGATCTGATTGTATTCTGTTTCGTGCTTCTTCTTCTTTTTACCTGTTTATTTTTATTTTTATTTTTATTTTTTTTAAATCTCCTCATTTGTATTTCAGTGTGACATCTAAGTGTGTACATGTACATATACATGTACAGCCTTAGCCAGCAAAATGAGAATTTCATATGCCTGTCTGTATCTGCGTACATTTTTTACTTGAATGATAAAGGTACTCTTAAATACATGTATCTTGATTTTAATATATATATATATATCACCAAACACATCAGTTGACAGGATTTATTTCTCTTTTATACTTTACTTTAATTACAATAATAATAACTAATGCCTAGAGATATGCAGAATAGATAAATATAAGGAAAACATTTCAATGTAAATAAATCATCTATCAGTTTTGCTGGGTTGCTGTTTGCATAAGTTTAACTAACTCCTAATAACTAACTTATAAGAAGTCTGTTCCCAGTTTGATCAACGCACTTCCTTGAGATTATCTGCTATTTCCATATATCCATTGCCATTGTTCATGTTGGCATGGCAACTGATAAAAGAATCCCATTATCATCATTCATTCTGAGAGTGGTGGTTGGGTTGGGTTGGGTTGGGTTGTGTAAAAGGTGGCGAGAATAATGTGTGTGTACATGTATGTACATTGTTTTTGAGTTCATTTGATTCCTTGAAATGATAGTAAGGATGATCAATGGCTTAGTTAAATAGTTTATTATTATTATTGCTATCAAGTCAAGTGCTTGGAGACAGCCAACCCCGGTGAGGCTGTGCTCCGCTCAAACTTTACTTGTTCATTCGCAACGGAATTCTATCTACAGGTACGTTGGATTTGCTCTACTTATAGTCTGGTTCGAAGGGGCAAATGATGATAAATGATGGCAAGTCAGCGACCACGTTGTTGTTGTTCCCCGTTAGTTAGGATAATGCGTAATGGAACGGGTTGTTGGGCTGAGTTGCATTTGATGTGTTAGTATGTGGGAACTTTCCCACACACTTGGGCTTCTTCTTTTTCATTATTTATTTTGACTTTTGTGGGATGGATGTATTTATTTAATTCTCTGGACTTGGACTCCAGAGTACAGTACGGAGTAACGTAACGGCGGGGAGGAGTTGATATTTATCATTATTTATCTGCCCAAACAACAAGAAGAAACTCGGACCAAAACCGAAGAAGACAAGGTTCTGGCCAGATGAATAATAATAATAATAATAATGGGCCATCATCGGTGGTTTGGTTCCGTTGTATGTATTATTAATTATTCATTATTAGTGTATGTATGTTGAAGTAAACGGGGTGGCGGCGGAGATCTACCCAGAAGATCAGAAGATACCTTTGGGGTATTGGTTATCTCGATGAAACCGTTCTACGCGGCCAGGACCAAGTTTCTGTCGGTGTCGCTGGGTTGGGTGGAGAAGTCGAACCGCCGTGCAGAGGAGAAAAGAGAGAAAAAACTTACGACGTGTATAAATAACTAACTAGTGGTGGGTGGGTATGTATGTGAAGTTAACTAATAGGAAGCTCCACCAGATGTTTTAGATCGATCCGGAGGCTGATTCTGGGAAACACAAACTCAAAAGCCTACGCTGTACTAGTAGTAGTAGTAGTAGTAGTAGTAGTTAACTACTCCGACTGAGAAGTGATTGCGTGAGGAATCCGTGATCCGTTCCGTATTGATACACTGGCTGCGTTATGTTATTGGTGGTTGCCGGTGGTTTACTTGTGTTCCTGGTTTTATTATTAATATTCCTGTTTCTTGTTCCTGGTTTTGTTCCTCGTTCCTGGTTCCCATCCAATCATGTCGCGGAAACAGACCCCAAAAAGGAGACCAGCCAGGGGAACCAGCCAATGGGGAGCAAGAGTATAGTTATATATAAAGGCAAAGGCAACAAAATCAACAAATCAACATCGATGCCGTTTGCTGCTGCCCCGGCTGCTGCCACCCACCACCGTGTGCCACGTCGAGCAAGGCCAGACAGGAGGAAGTTTTCTTTTTTCCCCTTTTTCCTTTCCTTTGTTCAAGGAACGAATTGTTTCAAGAGTGAACTGGATATGGCAAAAAAGCGCCTAACCAAGAATTTTCCCTCTCTCGAGTTCCCGTATTATCCCGGTGGTTTGTATCCATAAAATGATGATAGATATAGTAGTAGTTATAGTATACCACTTAACTAAGTTAAAAATACAAACTGCGAAAACACGAATCCACGAATCCAAAGCTCCCAGGTGTTCCAGGGTTGTATACGGAGTACTCCATACATATTCCTGTCTTCTCATCTCAGGTTGATTGATGGCTGATGATGACGGCGGATGAATGAGGTGTCCAACCCTCCGCGATTGGCTGGCCCAGCTGGCGGTGGAAATCGAAGTCAGACAACAGTCTTATTAACTACCCACCCGAACTCGGAACTCGCCCCTAACTCGCCCCGCTAAATTCCCCACTAACTGGCCCCTAAGCCTAGCGTGCGGGCCTAGAACCGGGGCCTAGGCCAGGGCGGTCCCTTCTCTGTCATCAATCTTCTTCCTCGCTTCCTCTTCCTTTCTTCCTTTCTTCCTTTCTTGCTCTCTTTTTTGCTTCTCCTCTATCTCCACTTCTCCACATCTCACTCACTCTTCTCTTCTCTTCTCTTGTCTTTCTTTCACCCTTTATACTCTCCCTCGCCTCCCGCTCTTCTGAGAATATATCCTTCTCATGTCCTTCCTTTCATGTATTTAAGCCACTTATCTCCCCTCCCTCCCCTCCCCTCCAGACCAGTCCTCGACATTCATTCCTTGTGTCGATCGACGAATCCCGGGGTTACCTTGCAGCATTCCGTTGGGATACATCGCGCTTTGCCAACCTGTCCTGGTCCGTTATCCTTCGAACATCGACGTCAACACCGTGTTCAACACTTGTTTCCGATCCATTCACTCCTTCACCTAGCTTTCTAAGGAGATAGCCTCCAGCTCTCGCGGTGCATTTTTTTTTTCCCCCTCACTCTGAAAAAAGACTGCAGAGCAGCCCCTTTTCACGATACACCCACCCTGTCTATCTATCTGCAGTGCGCTGCTACTGCTCCTGAATCGCCTGGCTCGATTGAATTCCGTTCATTGAGAAATACATTCAACACTACTCTGAACATACAAACGGCATATATATCCCACTCGAATATTGATTCGTACATATCTACCCTTTTTTTTGGTTTTTTGGCATCTCGTTCGTACCATACGATCCAGAGCTAGTTCTCTGTCAGTCGAACTTCCAAACTCGATAGCCCCATCGCTGTCGCAAAGGAACGCTGCCAGCACGCGACCAAGAACGACAACGGTCTATTACCTTTCCTCCGCTTTGATAGCGCACTCCCTTTTTTTCTTTTTTTTTTCTTTTTTTTTTCCCTTTTTGTTCGAGGGGCGATTTGCTTCATTTTCAGAAGCAAAAATGGCTCCCGATATCCTAAAGTCTTTGACTGTTGCGGCTGGCCTGTTGGCCTCTGTCTCGATCGCGGCTCCCGTGAAGCATCTCGAGGTTTGGGAGACTGTGACCCAGCACGTCTTAACGACGGTTGTGGTCACCACCACCGTGGATGGTGTACCAGGAGAGCCCCAGACGATCCTCCCTCCTGTCTTGACCCAGGAGAACCAGACTCACGTGTCTACTTCATCTGCTCCTCCGACACCCAGCGAGCCAGCCCTTATTCCCGCACAGTTCCACCAATTGTCCCCAGTCACATCATCACCGCCATCACCTCCCGCCCCGATAACTACTAAGGCCTCAGAACCCCCTCCACCTCCACCTCCAGCAATTCCTCCCCCTCCCCCTCCACCAGCAGTTCCTCCCCCTTCGCCTCCTCCACCAGCAACTCCACCCCCTCCGCCGACGTTTCCACCGCCGCCCGGTGGGATCTGCACCGAACACAGACCTTGCACGGGAGACATGACTTATTATGACGGTGGATTGGGTTCCTGTGGCTCTGACATTAAGACCGACGGAGAAGACGTGGTTGCCGTGGGAGTTGGGTTGTCGGGGCCACGCAGTAACGACAACCCCCTCTGCGGTATGATGGTGACTATCCGATTCGACGGTAAAACTCACAACGCCACCGTGAAAGACAAGTGCGGGGGCTGCGTAAGTTCCTTCCCCACTCCTTTCCAAATCTCTGTCTCACTCTTTTTTTAAGAGAAAATCACAAGATTGCATTGAACGCTAATTTTGCCGTTTTTTTAAAAAAATACAGGGTAACGGTGATCTTGATGCGACGAGATCTCTCTTCAAGAGATTGTAAGTTTTCAAACGCTCCCCCCCCGTCATATTATTATACAAGTATAAACTAACCTTTCATTCACAGTGGAGATGAGGATCGGGGCCGTCTTGGAGGTGTTGAATGGTGGTTCACTTAGTTTTCAAGCGAAAACGTGTCCCATCCAGGCAGATGCCTACCTACCTCCTGTGTACGAAATATACATCGTCTGCTCTAAGGTCGGGTTGAGTGGGGGTCAGAGGTAAACACCCGCACGGAAAAAGAGCAAAGAGAAGGAGAAGGAGAAGTTAGACGAGATTAACAGAAAAGTCCTCTCCATGCAACTGGAGAAGATTATGTCAACGTATCCGTCTGGCCTATCTATTGAAGGAGGTACTGCAAAATATCAGTCGATGGGTCGAGCTATTAGAAAATTGCTTTTGTTCCTTTTACCTTGATTTTATGTTACTACTCGCTCTTTTCTTCTTCCTCTTGTGGGCTGGCCTGAACGTTGGAAGAGAGAAGGGCAGCAGGCGGGCCAACACTGTAACTGCAACGCCATCCATCCATCCATGATGTCCCAAGAATAGTGGGTGGGTGGATGATAGTTCTAGTGTCCTCCCAAGTTCAGTCAGTGACATGGTGTTTCTGTCAAGATGAGACTTTTATCTACGTGTCTTGTTTATAGAAATAAAAATAAAAAAACAATTGCTCATTGAGGTGCTCAACTCAGTCTCTCTTTCTCTGTGACTTTGCACTTTGTGTGATTTTATTTGAGAATTCCACTCACTGAAAAAATAAATATATTTACTAGTGAAGGTATGATTTAGATTTATTATTTTTATAGATTGATTATAGATAACTATATTATTCAAAGTAATTAATTAAAATGAAAATAGTTATATATATAGAAGTGTTCATGAATTCATCTTGAGAAGCAGAACTATACTTGACTCTGAGAACTAAATCACAATTAGCATTTGTGTCTCACTGCCTTCAGTGCCTTGATATGATCAACAGGCAAGCTAAATTAGCAGCTTTCAGCCAATAAGCAAGCAGTCATAAATGAAGGTGGTAGAAAAATACCACTAATTGTGGCCTGGTTCTGTTCTCAGACAAGAGAATATTTGAGAAAGATATCTATGTCAAGATACTTAGAGCCTGTTCGGTGCATCCGTACTTTTGTGGTTCGGAAGAACGTACGACCGTCGGATAATAACGCGGCCGCTTCCGAACTTGCTTACAAATGTAAAGGGGCCATAGCGGCCACCAATTAATTCTAGAATAGTTGAAGGTTGTATTGATAGATCTATCTACAAGAACATAATATAGTGGTGGGTCATGTGATCTAGTGGGATCGCTAACCGCAACGGCTGTAACAGCCAACACCCCCTCTTGAGATAACAAGAATCACATACAAAAACACTCAAACCATCAAGATAGTCTGTCAAAACCAAATACAAATGTAAAATTAAACATTCCCAACTTTTACACCTGTAAGACCTAGCAAAATCATGAATTATACAAATATCACAGTGTTTAGAGATTTAGTGAGTTTATTCACTGTTATCTGAGTGATGAGAATGTATTCTAAATCAATAACTCTCTGATTCAACTGTCAATATAAAAAATGAAAACATGTGTCAATGTGCTTACTTCAGACTGTAATGACTATTATCTTTGTAAGATCTATGACATTCTTATTATCAGTAAGAATCTGTATTAAAGATGTAGTAATGAAGTTAAGCTTAATTATAAGATTTCAGATTCATATTACTTCATAAACTGTCTTACTAAGAGTTATATATTTAATCTTATTAAAACTTAGAGATATATAAGATTGTTTTACTGAATACTATGAAATCAGACTGTCTATAAGCTTAAAAATGTAGCTGAATATTAATTTTCTATCATTATTCAAGAGACTGACTTAATCAGAATCTGAGTAGTTGAAGAGTAGATAGAAATCATCAGAGAAATCAGAGAGAATGAAAAGATTAGTAGAAACAGTTCTCTTATATAAACTGTATCTGTAGAAAATGCTCAGATTCATGATCTTTTTCAAATAATATATAATATATAATAAAGTCTTTCAATATTAAGATATTGAATTAATATTTCATTGAGTGAGTAGTAAGATAGTATAAGTAATATCAGAATATATTTTAACTGTAAGATATTATAAGCAATTCATATTATATTAATATTACTGAATTGTGAAATCAGTCTCTTTCTCAGATATAGAGAAATTATTAATATAAAATTCATTCTTTATTAATATTCTGATAACAGCTGTATTATCAAGATAGAAATTCTTAATAAGATATTTAATATATTAATAATGTATTAAATCAATTTCTTTGTCTGAATAGTTAACTTTTATACTTAGATACTTAATTAACTGATGTAGATTCTTAACTTTCAATTTCTTACTAAGTATACTTACTAGTTAATCAGCATTCTCAGAAACTTTAAATATGATATTAAGATTATCAATATAGATTATTATATAGAGGTGATATTTGAATGTATAATATCAGAGTACTGAATTATAGACACTGACTATAAATTCAAGATTACTTAACAGAGCTGTTAAGTAATTATATCAGATCTTGACTGCAGGATTCAGACTATATAGACTACTATTATTATTATTATTATTCTTCCATTATACTCATATGCAAGCGGAGCTTATGATGAGTCCTTGCGTGATGTTAAATACAGGTCAAGTGTTGGTTATACAGGAGGAAATACAGGTGTTGAGACCACGCCAAGATAACAAGAACATAGGAAAATACAAAGGAGTGACAATTAGATACATGCGATAATAACTTCCCAGCCCAGGAACATAGAGCGATTCATTGGAGCGATTTGTACACCTCTGTATTTATTAGGAACCTGAGGTGCTTGAGTTCCGGATTTAATGTATCCCCTGCGGGTTTCGAACCCACGCGCCTTGGTTTCCCACGCCAAGGCGCTACCAGGTGGCCGCATTAACCATTCGGCCACCGGGGCCTATATAGACTACTCTTAATTATACAGATAAGTGGTTTCAGCAAACCTGTCTCAAAGTCAGTGAATTGTCTTATATAGATCTTCTTAGTGAGATACTTATGAAAATATGTTATTACTATATTTACTTAATAAAGTATTCAACTGCATACAACACAGTCTACTGAAGACCAGCTTTATCTCAACCGCTCCACCACGAACTCGCTCGATTTTTCGAATAAGAACCCGCCGATAGATCCATCGAAAAGCCCTCGATCATACGAGCATTTTGACCCCATCGCCGACCGCATACCCCGTGTGGTGGTGGAGTTATCCAGTCAAATGTGAACCAGACGTCGTTCGGAACTCCTGCGTGGGATTATCCCTCATTCTCCCCTACCACACCACAACCCCGGGCCAAATTGCCATACAAATTGTAAGGTGAAGAGACCTAGCTGTATGCACCAATCTTCTCGATTTTGGAAGATCCCCGATCTGTAGTTGTGGAGATATCTGAGGTGCGACCTCCGCGAAAACCCTGTCCATCTTTGATGTTCCAAAACACCAACGCCAAGTCCCACCCTCGTACCGCCCTTTCCAATCTGGCCCATCCCCGGCAGAAAAATACAAAAAGATACCTCGGCAATAATATCAAGCACATAATCAATGGACAATGAGTCAACAGCACATCAACAACTATAAAATCAGTATACCTCAAGGTCTGACTGAGCCTCTGATCCCTGCACAGTGAGATATATTAAATCTAGTTTTAATACCTCAATATTCAATAGATTCTGCAAGAGATTGAGAACAGCAACACTAGGTTTCTATTGAATTTGAGAATTAACTCTATATTGATATAATCATTGACAAAGTCTTCTATTTTGAGATATAAATAATCAGTTCCTCTACATCTCACTGACAATATTTACATTATTATATAGAAACAGACTTATATTCTCTATAATATCAAGACTCTGAAGAGAGAAAGTCTTGATAGAGAGTATACAGTAGTATATATCTTAGCAGTTTCTATCTCATTCTTCTGCAGCAGTTAATGCAAAAAAAAAAAAAGATCTTAGAAATAGTTTTTTACTTCTCTTGAAAAAGTAAGATGTTTTTCTCTGGGTTTTATACAATATTCTTACAAAGAATTAAAAACAGAGTTGTTTTCTGTCATAATTTCATATTCTTTTAAGTAAGAATTACTTTTTCAGTGACTGAAGAGCTTTCATTAATACTTAATTCTTTTTTACACTCTTTATTAACTGATTTGAGTTGCACACTTATTGTGTGAGGAGAATTGAATGATTTAGAATAAAATTGAATAGTTTTAATCAATTTCTCTGTAAAAAATTGATTTATTTTTTGTCAGTTTTTCTCTCAAAAACTGTTATATTATCTGATTTACTATCAATTGATATCATACTTTTTCTCACTATATCTCAAGAAAGAGATTGTAAAGATTTTATTGATTTATCTTAAAAATTAATTTTAGTTTATTAGATTCTCTTCAAAAATCTAATCTAGTTACTGAACTAGAGTGAAAAAAATCAGGTGTTTTATACATAAAAGTCTGCTATTCTTCTTTTGAAATAGTCTGATCAACTTTTCAATTGAAAACAGACTTAGAAATCTCTTAATTAAAACAGTCTGATCAACTTCTCAATTCAAAAGAGTTTAATAAATATCTCAATTGAATTAGTCTGACCAACTTTTCATTGAGTAAGAACAATGAGTTCAAAAGTACACTCAGTTAATGTGAAAAAAGATGCTTTCTCAAATGCTATTCCTGAGATTGAAATTCTGAAGAGAAGAAAGAAAGAAGAAATAGAGAAATAACAAGTTCTTGAAATACAGAAACTTGAAAAAGTAAGTAAAATTCTTGAAAAGCAGTGTCTGAGTGAGATGAATGAAGAAGTTCTGTTAATTCTTCATACTCAGGCTAGACAACTACAGAAAGTGATCAAGTTCAAACTTGGAATTTCAAACACAGTTCAAAAAACTTTGAAAATTTCTAATATAATCACTGACTCTTCAGTTTACTCTTCTTTCTTTTCTACTTCTTCTTCTTCTTCTTCTTTAAATCAGAAGAAAACATATGCTCAAGCAGCTGAATCTGCTGCCTCTAAACCTGCTATCTCTAAATCTGCTATCTCAAAACCTGCTCAAAATTCTGAGAAAACTGAGAAGAATACTGCTCATACTTCTAGTGATAGAAGAGTGAAGAAAAAAATATAAAAAGAGAAAAATCTTCAAATCTTCAGAAATAGAAGACTTATTCTCAAAGTCTCAAATCAGAACATATTGCAGAGAAATAAGCTAAACTCAAACCTCATTTTCAGAATTAGAAATGAAATCAATCAGCAGTTCTTTTCTCAGTTAATGACTGATATTGAAGTTTAAAAACCAGTTATAGCTTCAATTGAGTCATTCTTCTTTGAAAACTTCATCATTCTAACTACAATGTCTGAATTCAGTGCTGAATTCCTTATTCAGAATGAGAATCTCTGAAAATCAGCAGTAGAATCTTTGTTAAACACAATAATTCTATCTGAGAGAGATGAAAAGTGAGATAAATTCATTCTTCATAATATTTCAGTTGAAATTTTTGACTGTGAAGAAGGAATGCTACTTCTCAAAAATGAATTAGAAGAATACAACTCTATTCAACTGAGAAAGAAGCCTGTATGACTAAATTCAATTGAGTTCAGACAAAGCAGAAGAAATGTCTCTGTTCTAGTATATACAAAGATAATAGAACAGTCAAAGATCTCTGAAGTAAGAGTAGCAGATTTGAAAATGAGAGTTCATGAATACAAAGACTCAAGAATGAATCTCAAAGATCAAACACAGTGTTCAAACTGTCAAAGATATGAATACTTTGCAATCTCCTGTTTCAGAGACTCAAAATGTGCATTCTGTACCAGAGATCATAAAACTAGTGAGCATAAATGTGAAACATACTTAAAAAGAGATGAAATATGTCAACACACTCTGCTTAAATGCTCTAATTACAAAGAAAAACATGCATCTAGCTTAAAAGAATGTATATTTGCTTCAAGAACTCAAAAGAACTGAAGAAAAGACAAAGCTCAGAGTAAACCTAGAACTGAAGAGAATAGTTAAGTCAGTAAACTCACAACTGCAAGCTTAAAAAGAAGAAACTCTCAACTATCTAAGTCTTCAAACTTCAATTCTCCAGCTAAATGTAAACAGAATTTGAATTCTCAAACTTCTGTTAAGATTAGAGAATTGAGAAATGACTCTGATAATAAACTAGATA